GCCTGATGATTACATTGTCTTATGACGTCTGAGTTTCTTAGTATCTTGCCTCGTATGTAGCGCTATGAAAGTGTATCTACAGACGTCTTCCGGTATATCACCACTGTAGTATATTTTCTTTATTGTCTCTCTATATTTCTAATATGTTGAATTGTATATATTTACACTATTTGTTCGGATTATTGTCCTCATCTTTTTACATTATTCGGACTAATGTCCTCATCTTTGTCGCCATATTTATTGCGACGTTTCGGCTATTGTATGATCCGGCCTTCTTCAGGTGGTTGGGATGTCGAACCCTTTATTTCCCTCACTGGGGTAGACTGTTCTATTTCCACGTGCCATGTCTAATGGATGTCAGTTATCACTTATCTTCTGTTAATTCCCCTATTCAAGTTCTCCACCGCCTTGACCAGGTATTGAACTCCCATTCTCTGGGTCCTGTCACTGGATCTAACCCACGTCTTTATCCACTGCGCCATGTGTCCTTCATGTGATATACGTTGGAATGTCGAATCGAAACTTTTATTTGTTTCACCGAGGCATGTTCTTCTAGTTCCACGTGCCATACCTTTTGTGGATAACTCATTTTCACTTATCACCCATTTAGTTACTGAAATCTTCTGTCGCCAGGTATTGAACTCACATCTCTTTTAGCCATGTCACTGGATTACATAAACCATCACTTTTATCCACTGGGCCATGTGTCTCTAAGATTGTCAATACCAAAATCATGTAAAGCAGTGTATTATATCGTGTTTTCTTGATGAAAGAGGAAAATACATAAGGAAGGCAAACTCGTAGGTAAGTAATGAAATACAAAGTTTACTACACATATGTACACTTAGCAATTTACCTAAAGCTAACTCGGTATTTGCCCGAGTTCCCAACAGGGCGAGATGTGGCACAAGGCCGTGTTAACGTGTTTTTTTTTTTCTGATTCCGTAAACCCGGGCAAAAATCTCCTTTAGATCCATAATAATGGGGTCGGGTTTGCAGAGAGTCGACAAGCAGAGTTACCCAATGCTAACTCTGCTTAACTGCACCTAACTCCGCATATTCCATTCAATTGCGTGCTACTTGAAAAGCTGACAGAAGTTCTATTACAATGTCACCTGATACTGATGCTCTGCTCTTGTTCAATCTGACCATGACTGATTTCAATTCCAATTCTTATATTTATTGTCTTTCAAATTTCTTTGTATTGTGGCTTTTCCTCTTTTGAGGTCAGTGAGTGTCCTGATGTATTTATTCCATTCCAGAAATATATTTTCTTTCTCTTTTGTCAGTGTCGGTCCTTTGATTTTATTCATCATGTTGACGAGCATGTCTTTCGTCCTGTCAGTTTTTATATGACTGCATGGATATTTTCTTTAGCTATAATATTCCTTCTTTTTATTTTTGCCCTCTTTACTTTCTCTTTTTCTTGCTTGCATTTGTTCCTAACTTCTTTGTGTAATGTCCTTATATTATGCCTCATTATTTACTGTATCATTTTCATCGTGTCGAATATCTCATCTGTCATCCATTTTTCCCATCGCTACATTTCTTTGCGATGATCTCCTTTGCTGATGTTACTAAAATTAATCTTAAAGTGAATTTCTCTTCACATTTAATTCATTATATCCGTTTCTAAGGCTGTCACTATAATTATCCTTATTACTTCTTAGAATTATGGGATACTAGAAAGGATATTCTGTCTCTACTTTCATAGAAAATACCTCACTAATGATCACTCTATCATAATGGCACCTGTTGGACACTTATGGCATACCAGTTATGGTCATAGTAATATTGTCCGTTTCCTTAAAAGGAAACATTTGACAATCATTGGTAGAGTTGCCAGTCTTTCTCAAATTTGATCCCCTCCCTGGCCATCGGACTGGGGTTAAAGTTTATTATCTGTTCTTCACATAATAAATGGTAATATTAGATGTTACTTTGAAAGTATACTTTGGGAACTCATTTACCGAACAACCATTACTAAGTTTGGATGAAATTTATAAAAATGTTCTATTAAAACAATTGTACCTGAAAATTGTTTTGCAACTTCACTGTTATTACTTTTTTCAGTATTGAAGGAAGTTTTATCGTAACCTGTAGCTTTATATAGTATCGGATGTCAACATCAGGATTATTTCATTGTTTTCTCTTCAACTTATATGTGCTATCAATTTTAGTTGTTGCTGTTGTTGGATGTCTTCAATTGATGGAGTTTCTTTTACTTGCTACAGTTCTTTCTTTGGGATTCCGTTACACCGATCTACAAGATGCAATGAAAATAGTGTTCTTTTAGATCTACAAAGTTCATTCCCTGGAAGACATTTCTTTAAAAGTCAAGTTTTTCGAAGACATATTTTTACAAACCATTTCTTATCTGTTATTTTAGTAAGGACATGATACATTTTCAAGTAAGTAAATTTAAACGGAAATTCAAAACAAGTAAGTAAATATAGATTCCTTAACTAGCTTTGATAATCAGATAATAATAAGATACTTTTATGACCGGAATATATGGGTCCTATGATATTAATGCAAAGTAGAATAGAATTGGAACTTCTATAACCTTGTACGTGAAAAAGATAATAGTAATTTGAAAAGAGTATTTCTTTAAAGATAAACAGAATTCAACAACCTTATTAGCTAACAAATGTATGTAAATGTCTTTTTACGATCTTTGTAGAGACTAGGAGAGATCGTAAAAAGACAAAAATTGTTATATCAGACAAAAATTGTTATATTGGACAGACATTCGTGGAGTGTCATGAATTCTTACGACTTGAAGAACACGGTACAGAAAAAGAGATTGGGTTGATTTTTCTTTGGCTAGAAGTAGCTAATGATTAAACCTGCATTGAAGACTCACTAGTTTCCACATGCTTCTCGAATTTAACTATATAAATTATGATTAAAATTCAAAATAACATAATAAGAGATGTTATTGTCGAGTACATGCAGGGATGCTACCCCTTGAAGTATGTTTAGTGTAACCTTAGATACGTTGCTCACTTAGTCAAGGATCACAGTATAATAAAAAAACAATGTCCCGGGTGAACAACGTATTGGTATAAACTATACTAACATCAAGTACAGTTTCCATGAATGATATAAGTAGCACACTCCTGCCGGTCTTTTTAACAGGAGTGGAATTTATCCCTTTTTTGAATTGGGTATCCAGTTCTAAATTCTACTTCAACTCTATATTTCTAACGTTTCAGCCTAAACTCTGAAATGTGTAATGTTTTTCCACAACAGGAGTAAAGAGTTTCACCTATTGTCCGGCTCACACTCCTCCTCTGCCTTTTGAACAGAAATAAAGGTTTATCTCTTGTTTCTTGCTACCACCACGGGTCAGGGCGGACCTGGGAACAACCGCAATTAAGAGGTAGTTCCACGCTTCTCAAAACCCCAAATCTCCCGATCTGATGCTTTTTTACCGGCTGTAGTTTATCTCTAGAAGTGTTTCGTAATAACAATCTTGCTACACGGCAGTAAAAGCTGGACAGTCCCCTCACAGATGAAGAACTGATTTGACGCAACAACAATGTGGTTCTACAGAAGGAGAATAACATGGATCGAACATGTAAATAACGACACGGTTTTAGAGAAAATGGAAACAAAATGTACACTTTTATTTAATATCAGAAAGAGACTGTTGACATTTGTATGGCTTATATTGAGGAAAGAGAGCTTGAAAAATTTGATACTCACAGGACCGTTGGAAGTTAAGAGGAATTTTTTTCAATGAATAGCAGAACAGGTTTTAGGAGAGAGAACAAGAACAAAACTATTATTAAGAGCTACAATGGACAGGAAAATGTGCAGAGACATTATTATTTAAATCTATTGAAAGTACAATATTAATTAAAATATCTGTCTATATTTCTGAGATGAGGTATTGTAATCATTTACATTTCTTATATTGTTCGGACTGTTATCCTCATCTTTATTGCTATATTCACAATGTTTCAGCCATTGTATGCTCCAGCCTTCTTCAGGATCTGTCTATATTTCTGAGATGATGTATTGTAATCATTTACATTACTGACATTGTTCCGAATGTTCTCCTCATCTTTATTGCCATATTCTCTGAATATGACAATAAAGAAGAGAACAGCAGTTCGAACAACATACATATATTTGTTAATTTAATTTTAAGGGTTTTATCTTCTGTTTAAAAATATTTCCTCCCCATTGTAAGTGCATATTATATACCTCTGAATGTTTTTAAGTGAAATACTAGGAAAAGCCTTTCCCCTCCAATCTTAAACTCAATCATCATATTTGCACGAATTTTTAAATGTTTTTCCCTTGAACCTAAGTAGAAAATGCTGTCTTTTACAAAAATAGCTTCATATTTCCTGCTTTTAAAACTGATAATTTTCGCTCTTTTGATTGTATACATTATAATAATCATTCACATATGTCAAACTGTGGTTACATTTTCCTTTAAGTTCCGGTTCTGTTGAGGTACGCATTTATCGTGTTTTCTATAAATGTTTATAGACGTTAATCATTCCATTTTCAAGTATTCTTTCAACTTCGGAGAATTATTGCCGTTGATAAAAAGAAAAGGGACCCACTGCCAGCGTCTATCGTTGCTAAGCTAACTGCTGGTTTAGGGTAAATTGACACATAATATTGGTCAGTCAGTTATGCGCCATGCGGTATACATGCTTAGACGATCATGTATCTTTCGATACATGACTGACGATGCCGAGTTTCCCGAAGTACGTTGCTATCCAAGGCTAGAGAACTCGGTCTTACCTGCTATTTACCCATAGCCGTGAGGGAGAAAAATATGATTCGTAACTTTCCCAAGGGTATTAGAACGTAAGTGAATATAATGGATTCGATAGGTATTCGAACTCGGCTCTCCGATTTCTCAATTAGATTCGCTATCCATTACTCCACTGTGCCTTGATACAATGCTAAATTATTGGAACACTAGCATCGACCCGTTTTAGGAGACAATCGCGTTTTAACCTCTTTTCTAGCAAATGCCCTCAGAAGATATAATCGACGCCATTCTTTCGACAAAATACGTGTGTTCTATCATTTTCTTTTCTATTTTTGAATTAATGTATTTATTCTCTTTCAAATTATCGAATGTATGTTTAGTTTCCGGGATTCATGAGCCATTTCCTATCTAGAAATGTTGAAGGAAACACACTCTAAAATTGATTTTACTTTTTAAAAATATTTTTGCGTGATTTAGGTTATTGTCTGCATAAATAAAGTAAGCAACATCACAACCATATGAGGCGCATTCCGTGACCTCTGTGTAATCAACGCTCTGACTTTTACAGCCGATGCACTCATCAGTTTCTATGCAAGATTTATTTCTCACAGAGACATAAGAAGATACAATCGTACTGCGGTCGTCGTAACATACAAGATCAATGTCCTATGATATGTGGAACATTTGCTGCAAGGGGAAGGTTAATTTAATGCTTCCTTGAATTCCTGAAACTATTTTACAGAAGAAAGTCTCCCGAAAGACGAAATGCAGGGGTATGTAATTTGTTTTAACACAAATATCTCATTCGAAGTTAGAATAAAAACGAACAACATTCGGTAGAGAAATGTACGAAGGAAAACTATTTATTTGTTTTAATCATTAAAGTGTTGATTCTTATTTTATTACATTATTTAATCCTTTCTTTGTTTTTTTTTTTCTTTTCTTTCTTTCCTTTGTTTTAATTTTCTTCTTTTTCCGGGTGTTTCGTTCATACATTTTACCTTTTCTTTTTGTGCATCTATCACTTATTCTGTATTTCAACTATTTTCTATCTTTTTCGTTATTTATTTGTATTCAGTTTCTTTTTTCTTTGCAGATTTACCTTCGCACATTTTTTTTTTATATTTTTCCTTCACACTGTTGATTTTATAACGGTTTTTTTCTTATTTTCATTCATTTATTTTAGTCTCTCTTTTTCCCTATCAATATACGATTTGCCATGTCAAAACTTTCATTATTTCTCTCTTTTCGTTTACTTTTTCTCTCTTTACAGTTTTAACATCGTTTCAGTTTTTTTTATGTTCATTTAACAATGGTTTTGAATGATTTTTTTTAAAATTCTTTTTCATTCTTTCATCGATTTCCTTTCTTATAATTCTTTCTTTTCATTGTCACCACCCGTCACATACATTTTATTTCCATTATAAAAATGGATTTCTTTCTTTCTTTCTTTCTTTCTCGATTTTCTACACAAAAGCTTCTTTATTACTTTCTTTCTCACTCTCTCATTTCTATCTTCAAAAGCTTCTTTCTTTCTCTCTCGCATTCTCTTCCTTCTCTATTCAAAACTTTATTTCATTCTTTCTTTATTCTAATGCCCTATTCAATCTCACTCTTCTCTTTTCAAAACTTATTTGTCTTCTATGTCTTTCTTTCTTTCTTTCTTTCTTTCTTTCTTCTCTATTCAAAATGATTTTTCTTTCTTTTAGGACCACCTTCGTTTACATTCTCTTACATTCTGCTCTGTTCAAAACTCAGTTCTTTCTTTTTTATCTCTCTCTCTCTCTCTCTCTCTCTCTCTCTCTCTCTCTCATTCTCTTGCATCATCATTAAAAAAATTCTCTTTTTAATAGCTCGATCATTCTCAATCGTTCTCTTCTCTATCCCAAACCTATTTATTTATTTTCTCTCTGTCTTCCCACGTCTCTCTATCACATTCCTGTTGCTCTATCAAAACTTTATTTCTTTTAAGACCCACTTCTTTCTGATTTTCTTTCTTCTCTATTCAGAACTTGTCTATTTTTCTTTCTATCTTTCTTGCTCATTGCCTCCCCGCTATCGCACACTTGCTTCTCTATTTAAAATTTCTTTCTTTCTTTCATGTTTACCTAAGCAAAATCACTTTATTTTTCGTTTCTCACTTATTTGTTATTTATTATTATCATACTTCCTTACGCAAATCTTCTTACTTTTGTTCTTTCTCACCCACTTGCAGCTCTTTTCAAAATGCCATTCTTTGTTTTTGTTATATAGCGTACCTATGAACACTAATGTGTATGTCTCAATCCTCATAAATACGTTGGGCACTATTGTAAGTGGGGTCTACATGCTGTTTAAGTGATCATCCAGTAGCAAGGGTTTACCTACTTCATGCTGCTGGCGAGTAATTTTTGTATTTTGTTGCTGTTATAAAGATTATTATTTCATTTCCAACTTCCGTTTGGTTATTCCTCATTTAGTAACACTTTCTATATTACAACATTTCTTTCTTTCTTTCTTTCTTTCTTTCTTTCTATTCTTCTCACTCTCTTTTCATTCACTAGCAGTGGTTTACCTACTTCATGCCGCTGGCGAGTGTTGTATTTTGTTGATGTTATCAAGATTACCGTTTCATTTCCAACCTCTGTTTTGGTTATCCCTCATTTAGTATCCCTTTATTTATTACAACATTTCCTTCTTTCTTTCTTTCTTTCTTTCTTTCTTTCTTTCTTATCACTCTCTTACTTCTTGTTTTGTAGGAAACCTACCACCCCTCTTGAAGATGAACTTGTCTACAAACAAAGACGTTAAATAGCGGCATGTCAAAAGACAGACAGAGTCGGAGAAGTTCTTGGCTGAACTAGTTATAGACTACTCAGGCGATTTCTGTACCTATTTACCAACCTAATAAACCCCCTTTTTATTGTTACGTGTTATTTGGCGTTTGTCTTTACTAACCCCAAATCAACATCATAACACTTCTCTATTTAAAACTTTCTTTCTTTACTTTTTGTTCCTTTTTTATGCATATTCCCACTCATTTCCCACACCAGTTTTTCATTCTTTCCCCTTCATTTTTGCGGTTGTTGATCATGATGATGATCATGATGATATGGTTTTTTTTTTTTACTTTTTTCGACTTAAAAGCCAACTCTCTCTTATTTTAATTTCTGAGGATTAAATGACATAAAGCTTTCACAAATCTCCAAACTTTTACTCCGTATTCTCCTTGTTTCAGATATCATGTGACCTTCACTCACTCACTTCTATGAAGGAAAATTTGAAATTATTTTTCACAGATTCTAGTCTCTCAAAGAACAGGAACACAACCTGCACTTTTATATAATCCCATAGAGTTTCTCTATCGTCAATTAGGTATACATATCTATTGAATCTTTGAGCAAGTTTTACCGTAAGATATATGTTAGTTCCTTATGGAGAATTTTCTCTTTTTGCCATCTGAAGATTCTTTTGATACTAACAAGTACCGTTTGTAACCGTTCGATGCAGGGCTATATATTTTCTTCTCAATGTCTGAATTGGAATTATATTTTTCTTAGATATTAACTATTTTTTATCTGATCTGCTTTTACACGTGAAGTGATTCAGTCTGGTCTCCTGGGTTAGAAATTGAAATTCACTCAAAAACTCATTTTTAAAAAAATAGAAATGTTTCTACTGCTTTCAAAGCTTCAGTATTGTGCCAATGATTCTTCAAAAATTAGTAACCTGCTCGTCGTTGATTTTTCAACCGGCTCTTATGACTTTTCATCAAGACCAAGAAAAAGTGATTGATACGAATTTTGTATCTCTTTATTTAGAAACATGGAGCAATACATTTTTCCCATTTCATTTCCTAATACTAAATACAAAGCGATATGACAAATGAAACTGAATGTGAAACATTTCTTAACCTTCGTTGAAATATTCGCCTACCCTAGATAAGACACAGTTCCTTTGATTACAGCTGGCTATAATCAGAGTAAAACGATTCACTTGCCCTAAAATGTAGTCCCACATAATCATCTGCATAAAATAATGAAATATATAGCAGAGATATATGATTTATATAAGATTCGATATTCGCATTATTCATATGTTTTTATTACAATAAATGAGTAAGCATATATACAATAATGAATAGCCTATATGAAAAATAAATTAGATTGCATTTTTCCTTGAGTTTTCTAATACATAAAATATTATGAAAAATAGAAACTATATTTTTTTGGTAAAATTCTTCTGTAAATTGATTTTGCAATGTACACAATAATTTCCTGTCCAGATATTAACATAAAAACTAGCCTTAAGCCTATTGCTTATAAACTGTACTTTTCAGGATAAAGGTTTTTGTGCATTGCAAGAAAGTGGTGGCGCGTATGATTTCTCATTGAGATAAAAGCATAACCTGTTTCAGTTTATTATAAATATGCATGCACAATTTGACGCTTCTTCCTGAGGGTTTGGTATTGTATAGAGTACAGAAAACTAAATTGTCTATATATATATATATATATATATATATATATATATATATATATATATATATATATATATATATATAAACAACTAACCCCTTTGAAAACGTCTAAAAATAGAGGCCGAAAGCGTTTGAGACAAAAGAAAATACGGAAAACTGTATGAAGACAGGATAAACTAAATAGAAAATTAATAATATTTTTCTTGTCTTACATATTCAACGAAATATTTTAAAAGTTTTCTACCCAAATATAGATAGATAGATAGATAGATAGATAGATAGATAGATAGAGAGTGAAATTTAAGTAAGGACACGAGCTGTGTTTTGGTAGGAGTTAAGGTTGTCAAGTTTGCTCTTTTTTTTTCTTCTCTAAGTAATCTTGGTATTGCACAATTTTCTTTAATGAATAGGTAGGTATTTACCTTAAGGTCGTTTTCTTTTCTAGTTCGTTATTTTCTTCTGGTAGGGGCGTTACGCATTTTGGCAATAGTCTGTTAGATTCACCAACGTATTAATTATTTAATAGATAGATAGATAGATAGATAGATAGATAGATAAGAAACACGTTACTCATATATTTTTGCATTTCCTCGACTTAATGTTTCATGGAGACACCAAGATAGCTATTGGTCTATTGTGCAATTGGGTGATTCGATGGACGAGACACTTAATTCTCTCTCTCTCTCTCTCTCTCTCTCTCTCTCTCTCTCTCATTCTATCAGCATTTATCTCTCTATTTCTCTCTATCTTTTTTCTTTCTTTCTCTCTTTCTTTCTCTCTCTCAGCCTCTTTCTTTCTCTCTCTCTCACACTCTCATTCTCTCTCTCTATATATATATATATATATAGTACTTAAATGTTATTTTTATTGGATACTTGTATTTGAGTAGACGCTCTGTCAATTTATTAAGCATCATATTTATTTGTTATCGTCTACTGTCTTGAATTTCAGAAGTATATGCGCTCTCCGGCAGGATTCGAACCTTCGTTCCTAGAGAGGAAACCGTCATTGCATCTTATGTGCTTTGAATTTGTCGACGAAAGAGTGTATTGATGACCAAGCAATGCTGAATGGTGGTTTTAAACACAGATTTTTCTCTGAATCTCAAAATAGATATATCTGCTAAGTTTTCACTACTAACGTAAACAAAGCTACTTCTAAAGAAAGAAATGGATTTTTTATATATTAACCTGCCAGGAGGGTCAGTTGGGCACCGTCTGTGAGAAAAAGAGCGCGAAAACAGACAAGAGAAATAATAAATTATATTTAGTTAACATGTTTCATCCTCCCAGGTACTATAATGTTTTTTCCAAGCGTAGCTTAGATGTGGCAAAATGCCGAAAGAAGGGGGAACCCATTGAGTATTGAACTCACTATCAGTCGTAATTATTATAGCAAGACAAGCTCGCTAACCATTACAGTGCTTCGAGGTGCCCACTCTCAGGTACTATATAACGGTAATGAGAGGAAGAAGCGTGGTGACTAAGTTTTCCTCTTGTCACTTTTTTTTTATTCATTATCTCTCTTCTACAGATACACCACATCTGAGAATATATATATATATATATATATATATATATATATATATATATATATATATATATATATATATATATATAAAAGGCTAAAAACACTAATATTCCATCGTTATAATTTATTACATTTGGAGTGGTAATTACGATCCAATTCATCAGACCTACAAATTCAAATATAACTCCGGGTATAAAAAACAAAATTTTAGTGAGAGTGTATGTGTGGAAATGGGAAACAAGTGAGAGAGGGAAATGTATGAAAGCTATAGAGAGAGGGTGTAACAGAAGAAAAAAGAACAGGAAAGGCCTAAAGGTGAAGGCGGGGATTAAAATTTAACAGCGAGAAGTTTTAAAGAGAGGAGATAAATAACGGTTTAAATGAGTGAGATACAGATAAATATAAATTAATTTTGGATGCATAATTCGCTACCGAATCTCTGCTCTAAATTAAAAAAAAACAGACACTGGAAGCGTCTTTATACATTTGTGGTGACACTACGCACAATAAAAAAAAAGATATGATCTAAACTTGAAATCCAGAATATGAGAGAGAGAGAGAGAGAGAGCGAGAGAGACAAAAGATCGGTGGGGGACTAAAAACGAATGGCATTTCTAAAAGAACCGATGAGAATTTGACAAAGTAAGTAATATCTCCTACAGTTTACAGATTTAACATAAACATATAAAAATTTAACGAATATTTAATCTAGTAAGGACATTCTATTTATATGCACAAAAACACATACGTAGATACACACATACAAAAAACGACATATCTATATCTACTGCACATACATACATATACGTATGCATATATATATATATATATATATATATATATATATATATATATATATATATATATATATGTAAGCAAATATATGGATATAGATCCGACAGTATGAAGAAAAAATTTTCTTCATATATATATATATATATATATATATATATATATATATATATATATATATATACATACATATATATATATATATATATATATATATCAGTACACATACACTCATGCATACATATACACATATATACACAGGGACATACATATGTGCGCATAAACATAACTGCATAAAACTTTACACACATCCATACATATATACACACACTCATCTAAACAAATATACAACGTATCTAAATTATCTATCCATCCATACACAAACACACACACACACACACACACACATATATATATATATATATATATATATATATATATATATATATATATATATATAAATTAAAAGGTAAAAGGTAAAAAATACACATATCCATATATACATACATTTAACATATAAAAATAGATGTGTAGAATTAAACTAATTTGTACTTAAAAACTACTTAGGAAGAAAACGTTAACAATATTAAAAATCCACGGAATGATTAACGCGTATATATCGCTTAAGTCTAGGTATATAAAAATATCAGAAAACTATCAGATTTAGTATATCAAATTATTTAAGAAATCGTTTTACCTACATACCCACATATACATATATATCAACACAGGAATAAAGTATACTAACACAAATTGAATGGACAAAAAACATGGAGAGAGCACCACATAAACACAGACAATGATATATATATATATATATATATATATATATATATATATATATAGATAGATAGATAGATAGATAGATAGATATAGATAATCATAAGAGTCATTCCATTTAAATGTCATGTCCGATGTTAGTGATCCAAGATTAAACTGTTATAGGTAACAGCACGTTATAAAACCTTTTTATGGTTTAAAGCGTTTTTTATGTTTACATTTGTAAATGATTTCACTACGAAAATTCAGTAGTAATTTTTTACGCCATGCATAGATCACACCGATCGCGGAAGGAATTAGGGGTTCTAGCTCTTGATAAGAATCTCCATTCGAAATGCGGGGTTAGTCCCTTATCCACCAGATCCCAGTAGAGTTTGGATAAGGAAGTTCGACTTTTAAGGTATCGATATTTAAAAGAGCGTCAATGGTTGTATAAACGCTGCTTCCAATTACCAGCGGATATACCTATGTATCTTTTGTTTCTGGTTGGTATTTTCTCCGGGTAAGATTTATTTGCTTCATATCTTACATTCTCATACATATCCTGGACAATGAGTTCTACCTGGATTCTATCCTTTTGGAAATTTATATATATATATATATTAAAAACATACGATAAGAACACTCCAAAATTATTTACAGAAATTACAAGAAATCTTGACTTACCTAACAAGAATGACTAAATGAAAAATATACTAGTAACAACCAAAATAATTAACCAAAAACGTCAATCTAAAATAACCTAAAACTTATATTAACCTCATCCAAATTTAACCAACACAATATACAGGGGTCACAAAATGCAACAAAAAAGATGTGGGGTTTATGATGTCATTATAGAAGGGAACTCCTACACTTTTGAAAACCCTACAACTACATTCACAATAAATAAAAATTTAAACTGCAACTCCAAAAATGTGATCTATGCCCCCAAATGCACAAAATTCAAGAAGTCGTATATAGGTATCAACCAGGCACTTAACAACAAATTGTTCTTTACAAAAGCATCATCAAATTACTTTGTATCGCGACACATCTGCATATTGAATAAATGGAAATTTAAAATTATGCGAACAGACAGGTACTCTTCCCTGCCAAAAGGAAAAAAAAAACTTTATAGACAAATTTAAACCAGTACTGATTAGATCATAACCCCACACACAGGAACACACAGCATACACTGGTCAGACCGCACTTATACATCCACGTACGCACGTGCAAAAGATATCCCTGGGGATATATATATATATATATATATATATATATATATATATATATATATATATATATATATATGCACTAGTAAAAACTGATCGACTACTCACGGACGCACACACGAACACAGAAAGTTTGTGTATTTGTGTGTGGGGGTATGTAAGTATATGTCTATGCGTATATACATGTACATATATGTGTATGCTGATTCCTTATTATAAGACAATATGTATATCTGGGGAGGAAATATACATATACAGGCTAACAGAAACACGCACTCTCACACGGATAGGCAGACATCTGTTATCAACTCATCTATCATCAACAATTCTCATACCAAATCTAATGGTTTTATTAACATCAAGGCAGAAATTCACTTTTACCAACAGTCCACAAAGCTTTTTTCTGGTACAAAATTTAACGATGGCTAGGAAAACTTATATGGCATTTTAAAAAGCTAAAAAAAGAACAACCGGTTTCGTCCCAGCCTTATCAAGTTTATATTTCTAGGATATAAAACATATATAAGCGTGTAAATTAAATTAATATAACGAATGGAAGGAAAACCTATGAATTTCAAGAAAACTAGAGTCCAATAACATTGAGACCCAGTAAGCATTGCCTCTGTTTACAAAGGGAAGGCCCAAGGGATCTGATATACAAGGACTCTAGAACCTTGAGGTGATATGAGGAGTGGGACCTAGATAAAATCGAAAAACGGTCTGCACTAAAATCAAACACTCAATTCCTGCTATTTATTACATGCTTTGCAATAGCAGAGTCAGAAGTATGGTTAGTTGGGTTTTCCTTGCACCTGGGGCTGTAAGTGCTTTATTCTCAGACTTAAACAAATCCACATTATAGCCAAAAGCGTTAGCGGTTTCTCTTTCTCTTCTTTTTCTTTTCTTTTTTTTTTTAAATATACATTTTTCTCTCCTTGGAACAACTATAACCTTTTCTATAAGCTTTCTGTAAGCTTCGAAGTGCAGGTGGTATAACAGATAATTGCTGGAGACTATTAATCAGTTATATTCGCTTACGCGCAAATAAACTTAGGAAAGGTATGAATCTACATATTCTCCCCCAGCTATCGGTTAATTAGTAAGAATTGTATCATTATACCATTAATATATACCCACATAATTTTCTGTCTCTGACATAACGTAGAAAACTAATCAATCAATCTGAGTTCAATTCACAGCGGTGACAGTTTCTTTCATTCTTGAACGCAAACTTCAGACCATTTTGCTAGGTCCATTTTATATTTACATTCGCCATATATACATATATATATATATATATATATATATATATATATATATATATATATGTGTGTGTGTGTGTGTGTGTGTGTGTATGTGTGTGTGTATTATATATATATATATATATATATATGTATGTGTGTGTGTGCAAATATATTAAAAATAGGAAGGAACACATTATGTAAATAATGTGAATTTCTGCAGTATTTTGTCTTTATTTTAAAAAAAAACTGTTCTTAATACGAAAGTAGAGCCTAAATTATAATTATTTTAAAA